AATTGCTTTTAATAATAGTATGCAAATATCTCAGATATCATTAGTTTTTAGAGTAGCTCTATGAGATAATTATTAAACTCATTTCATAGACTGGGAAAACAAAGCACAAAATAATTAACTACCTTGCCTAAGACGGCAGATCACAGTCTCAGCCAGGACTGGGGCTAGCTTCAAGAAACTAATCTTGGTTTGAAAAGCAAGTCAAGTATTCCCAGTCCAGGCACCCAAGCACCATAGGGAAGACCTGTGAATTCACAGAAGCTAGACTTAAGCTGAATAAGATTTTAACATATTTGTACTTTCTTGGGGGAATCACATTTCCAAACTTGTCTCCCATGACTATGAAGTCTAAAACCCTACCCTTAGTTCCTCCACCTATATGAAATCAAAAATAGGGACAGGCTCGCATGGCTTTGTGATCAAAGGCTTAAGTAAAAAACAAACAGAATTCTCTGGACAGAATTGAAGCATTTTTGAAGTACGTCTATGCAACGGTGAATGTGACTGACATTCTCAGCGGAAAGGCTGGGAACATATTTCTTGTTACATAACTCAGAAATGAAGTTTCTTGTTTGTAGAAAGTGTGTTATATCCGTGAGCTGCAATTTTCTTTTGCTGCCGGCAACCTTCTCATCATACATTAATTGTCACTAATGGCAGAGGCCGCGATATGAATAGCTTGCATCCTTTCTCACTTGGTGCTCTCTAAGGAAAACTTACTACTCCTAAATTCTGTCTTTACTTTCTCCACAGAGCTCTTGCCTTCAAAGGGACAGATTTTCAGCTGCTGCACACAGACAGAGCCCTGTTAATATCAATTCACATGAAATAATAATTCAATCTAGAAACAAATTACTTTTATCTTAAAATGGGAGGATACTGTCCTTCACTTCCAAACCTCTCAGAAGCGGAGACAGACTATCATAAAAACAAGGCTTATAAACTAGAATTTATTATAGACAAATAGGGCTTTGGCCTATGAATTCTCTTTGCCTATTAAGCTAATGACCCTTGACAAAGCCATCATCTGAGGTCTAGCTGACAAATTGTCTGGAGCAGCAATTTGAAGGGTGTTGGCTGTCTTACAAGCATTTCAATTGGAAGGAGAACGTGGCATCATGTTCCTCCCTCTCTGGAAGAGCTACTTGTTAATCTAAACTTCTCACAATTCACCAGCAGATTCTCCATATTGAAGCACGTAGATACTACAATGATGACAGTTACCAAAATAAGCAGACCCCTGCCCCTTCCTCCCCAGACCTGAGACTGATAAACTAGGAAGAAAAAAATCCTCTCTAGGAAGCCTGTGGGAGGACAGGAATCATTTTATATTTGACTGGAGAGCAAGGAAATTTACAAATGGGAGGAACAGTGCTTTGAGGAATTCAGGTGAAAAAAGGGAGACTTTTCAAAATACTTGGAGGATACAATATTTAGAGGATTGCAGTCTAGTTGGAGGTGCAGGTGCAGTCTAGTTGGAGGCCTGTAGCTAGTGGTGTCCCCCAGGGGGCAGTCCTGGGTCCAGTCTTGTTCAATATATTCATCAGTGACCTGGAGGAAGGCAGAGTGCACCCTCCGCAAGTTTGCTGATGATACTAAACTGGGGGGAGTGGCTGACCCACCAGAGTGCTGTCCTGCCATTCAGAGAGACCTGGACAGGCTGGAGAGCTGGGCGGAGAGGAATCTCCTGAAGTTCCACAAAGGCAAGTGCAGGGTCCTGCACCTAGGCAGGAATAACCCCATGCACCAGCAGAGGCTGGAGGGGTTGACCTGCTGGAAAGTAGCTCTGCCGAGAAGGACCTGGGAGTCGTGGTGGGCAACAAGTTAAGCATGAGCCAGCAGTGTGCCCTTGTGGCCAAGAAGGCCAATGGTGTCCTGGGGTGCATGAGGCAGAGTGTTGCCAGCAGGTGGAGGGAGGTGATCTTGCCCCTCTCCTCAGCCCTGGTGAGTAGAGCATCTGGAGTCCTGTGTCCAATTCTGGGCTCCCCAGTACAAGAGTACAAGACTGGAGCATCTCTCCTCTGAAGAGAAGGCTGAGAGAGCTGGGCCTGTTGAGCCTGGAGAAGACTGCGAGGGGATCTCATCCATGTATGTATACAAGTATCTGAAGGGAGGGTGTCGAGAGGGTGGGGCCAGACTCTTCTCTGTGGAGCCCAGTGACAGGACAAGAGGCAACGGGCATAAACTGAAACACAGGAAGTTTCATCTGAAAATCTTCTTTCCTGTGAGGGTGACAGAGCGCTGGAAGAGGTTTCCCAGAGAGGTAGTGGAGTCTCCTTCGCTGGAGCTATTCAAAACCTGCCTGGATGCGATCCTGTGCAATGTGCTCTAGGTAATCCTGCTTGAGCAGGGAGGTTGGACCAGATGATCTCCAGAGGTCCCTTCCAACCTCAACCATTCTGTGATTCTATGAAGCGCTCAGCAAATCAATTTGAGATTCAGGGATGAATATTCAAACCAATGCAGCCCTGAGAGATGCTGTCTTTGTGAATTTTAGGGCCGAACACAATGAACACTTCTGAAAAACTGGCTATTTGTTTTGGGGCTTAAATGCGACTAACACTTTTCTAAGATCTGTTGCCAAATTGCAAATACTGAGTCCATTTGGAAATCTGATCCTGGTATGTTTTGTCACTTTCTTCATCAAAGGTATTTGGTGAAAAGCGTTTCAAATATCTTCCTGCACAGTCAGCTATTCAGAGAGTCCCATGGAAAAGATGACAGTATTTGACGATGTTGAAAACTATCAGGTTTCTATCTGAATGCTATTTCATGGTGAGAAGAAAGTACAGATTATAGCAATCCATGTTACTGTCACAGCAAGGAGGAGAGAACAGTGCACAGCATTTACCATGAGTTAAGTTCTCCCTCAACTTTTATATTCTCTTCACAGTTTTTGCTAGGGCATTGAACCAAATGAACTGGTAAAATATATAGGGACTAGAGCTTGATTTTACCCCAGTCTGAAATGAAGAAAAATAAAACCTTGTCTTTAAAGAGACAAAGTAACTGACGCTCAGCAAAACAAAACCCAGTTTTTTAAATTCTGATGTCAGGTCATCAAATGGCTGATGACCAAGTATTCAATAAATCACACAGTAGAGCAAAAGGAGGTAGAGAATTATACCTTCAGATGGCAAAGATGGCCTAGTTCTCCTAACTCTCTAGAGCTCCACTGGTTACTGGCATCTCAGTAGCTGGTCTGCAGGAGGTACCCTTAACAGATCATCCCTTCTCCCCATGCTGTCCCCTTAACCTTGAGTCTTGTCCTTAGAGATTACCATTCTTTTTTGACCATTTATTCAACAAGAGATTGCACATGTCTATGGTTAGCAAGCCACAGTTTAACTCCCAGTGTTCTGAATACACACCACAAATTCCCCCAGAACCACAAATTTCCCTAGAATTCCCCATGGCCATAAATTCCCCTAGAACCCACTTTTTCTACTCTCTGATTCAGGTTGGTTCCTCTCTTTCTAAAGGGACCATTCTAAAAGTGAAAGTTGAATAAGGGATCTTTTTATAATGATCTTTTCTGTATTCTACCTCTAAACACACAGAAACATTGTGACGATTAAAGATAAATTATGTGTACTCTGTATTTAAAGATCTGAAGTCATTTACTGCTTTTTGGCTAGTTATTTCCTTTAAGATTGTAATTGCAGAGAGTTTCAAATATTATGGACAGATCCATTAGTGCCTGCCATATCTGGAGTTATTTATACCTATGTAAAATGCTGCCTATCTCAGTGTTTTTCATTCATAGTCACTGTCCTGAACAGCTAGACTAATCATGATGTCCAGTGATTAAGCATTTTTACAAATTTTAGAAGCCACACACTTTGTAATAAACTGACACATTCCAGTAAACCGACAGCTTCTAGATGGTCTTACCACATTTGTTGAATTTTCCGTTAGTATTTGGCTTATTGCTTTTTTAACTTAGCTTTCTATTGTATAGCCCTGCAATGCCTTTCACAGCTGCTTTTCTAATCCCTGATATTGTAACCTATGTTAATTTACCTTGTTCTTTCCACTTATACACTTCCGCTCTCCTCTTCCTATAGTAGTTTTTTTTCTTTTAAAAATGCTTTTTCTGCTAAATGCCCATGATCAAAGCTCCAACTACAATTACTTTTCTCCTGCTATTGAATATAAAAGATTGTAGTTTTTCTTCCCCACGAAGTATTCTGACAAAGGAAGCACACAAAAAAATGGAAGCGCTAAATGCCTTGTTACAAACTTGGGGACAACTCTTCCTCTGTTTCTCAAGTCCTGTGTCCTAACAGTTTACTACTATCGTAACAGACTACTGAAGTATAGCTGGGTTATACGAGCATTCAGTTTTAGATAACATGTTTTCCTTGATTACGTATTTCTCAGGAGGTAAATCATAGACAACATTTTACAGCAATGTCTTTCATTACTTCAGTTATGGAAATGTTCATCATTTCAGGTTTTACTATCTGTCCTCCTAGAGCACAGCTAGTCTAGGGAATTTTAAATTTTAGATGTATTCTCAGCCATGACTTGGTGAGGGAGGTGATTATTTTTTGCTCAATTTCTTCTGAATGGCTTAGAAAGCTACCCTGTGTATCCAAAGATTCCCTGGGAACAAAGTATGCACAAAACAGAAATAAAGTGAGTGAATCAAACCCAATTACTAAAGCTTTCAATGAAGTCTTAGTCATTTTCCATACTTTCTGAGAAACAAATACTGAATTAAGTTATTAAATGAGATACAGATGATGTGACCTATTTTAGAGCACCATTCCTATGGACTAAAACATTGCCTGTACTCATCACTGGATTTTGGATGACCAAAAATTATATACCGTGGCAGCATATATCTTCCAGTGGTGCAAAAGTGAAAGCATGGTTAAAAATGAACACAAGCTTTAGAAAAGGAAGATCTACAAGTGAGGATGTGCACTATGAGATAAATCCAATGACGTTCATGCACGCTAACAGAGAAGGTGAGGAAGAAGCGCATGCAGTACCTGGTGATCTCAGAGTCAGGGAGCAGGCCTACGTGGTAGTGGGGATAGGGAGCTGTAAGAAGGAAGCTTTTGTCACACTCGACAGGGGAATAGTGCCTAGGAGAAGGTGGTTTATCACACAGTTTGTTCACAGTGCTGTAAACAGGTTCAGGAGGCCTGGTGATACAGAGACAAGAGTAAAAGATCAGATGCATATTACTGGCCGAGAATATAGAGATAACATAGCAATCAGGATTTAAAAGCATGCATGGAAAATATCTGTCAAGAACTTTTCAGCAGAGCTTTTCTGACAAGCAAAGTGTGCTGTTAATGGAAATATTAGAATTTGATAACACAGTATTACAGCATACAAGCAACTGTATAAAAGGATATACACAACATAAGTGTGCCATAAAACTGACTTACAGGAAGTATGGCTGTGAAAGGCAATATCTTATTTCTGAAGTTCAAGGATGAATTTTTTCAAATGCTCTGCCTTTTTTTTTTTTTAAATCTAACTTAATGTTACCTCTGCACAGCTTTCTGTGATCTTCTTAAGCATTGAATATGTTAACACTTAGAAGAAAATATGAGGTTTATTACCTGAAAACAGGCCTTTGTTCTCATTAGTTCAAGATAAAGATGAAGTATAGACTATTTTTTTTAAAACAACATACTCCTGACCCTATGAGGTGAGGCTTTGCAAGTGAAGCTGTGGTCAAGGTAAGCCATACCCAATAAGAACACTGTATATATAGTAAAATACTGTGCAAGCAATTAATTTCATTGGAAGGTAATTCATTTCAAGAGTTCTTTGCTCTCATTTCAGATTCAGTGTTCAATATCTGATTATAGAGACCACATCCCAAGTAGCTAACACCATTGACAAGACTTCTGCAATCGCCCTGGAACTGCTGCTCCAAATTAAGGCCAGCATCCTGTGAAGCTGGGTTTCAGAAACAAGATCCTAAAAACAACACTGACAAGTCATCTAGCTTTTCTCTTCTGTTGCTGAGCTTGGGGTATGAAAGCTCCCCACAGGCCAACCCCCAGGGAGAGGCAATACTTACCATGAACCTCCCAAAGTGTCTGCTGGGGAGTGGGGAGGTGGGAAGCAGCTTTAGTACTGCCAGGAAGCCACAGGAGCCAGACAGCAAACGGTTTTCAAAAAAATGCACCGTACCACTACATTTCCCCTCATGCAGCTTCTCCAGTGATTGCGTGAGCCCCAGCAGATACCTCTGGGCTTACTGATAGAGTAAAATTTGACTCATATAATTTCCTGAATTTTCTACTCAAAGGGTACCAAGAAGGAACTGCTGTCATATTCTAGCTTCTGCCAGAAGATCCAGTATATACCACTGTCTTTAATCACTGCAACACGGCATTAGCCTAATGAAAACCTTATTTCAGAAACCCCAAAAGAGCAAGAGGCCAAGCAGTTAATGAAACTGTTTTGGTTCTTCTGGCTATACTATGCCTCACTTGGGTGTGGTTTTCCATGACTTTCACAGGTACTAGAATTTATTATGGTAGTGGCTGCAAGGGCAGATATATAAAGCATATTTCCCTTTGTTGTTAGCTTCTGATTTTGTCCTTTGGGGGAAAAGGAGTAGCTGCTTTACCTAAAGTATTAGTCTCCTTCAACATTAATAACATTATTCTGAGCCGTCTGACAAATGATTTGAGAACCCTCCCTCCCTGACTTTCCCAGTGAAAAAAACCTTTCAACCTTTCCTAGCGGTTGAAAAAAACCCAGCAATTTAAGATAAACAAATATAAAAACAGCAAATTTGTCACTCATTTGATTATAACGCACTCTGTCAAGCATTCACCTCCGTCCCTTTAAAAATACATTTAGGGTAGCAATTCTTTTTCTCAGCATATTTCATACGTGTTTCAGAGGGATGGATTGAATAATTTATGTACTAAATCAATTGCTGCCTGCAATATCAAGAATCCACAGGAAAAAAAGAACTTTCCATTATTTTATTTTAGACCATAATACTGCCTTATATTCCCTCAAAGATTACTTTTGTTTCTCGGTAATATGTTAAAAAATAAGTATAAATATCAAATACCCCTTATAAAGGTGTACCTACTACGAAATTTGAGGGAATTTTGCCCCAGTGCAGAAACATGAATACAAACCGCAGATTTTTCTTTTGCTTAAAATACTAAGTAGCTCACAATCAGCTTGGTACAATAGACAAGTTACTCATCTCGTCTGAGTGTATATGACGTGAGATTGCTGCTATCCCTTGAATGAATACTATGAATGCTCAAATTACACTGAGCTGTCAGTGACCATCCAACCTTGCTCTGAGACACACATCGTCCCACAGAGAAGGATGGATAGCAGTGACTGCTATGTTAACTGACAGCTGCAAACTGCTTCAGAGAGCAGAAGGAAAATAAATGTTTAGCATTTACCTAGATATTTTAATTTAATTAGTCATTCATATCTAAATACAAACAAAATGTCTTGTATAGCCCATCAAATTTTAAAATATTTAGTAGATTTCATTCCTTTCAGTCTTGCTGGATGGTAGGATAACAGAAAATTGGAATATAGTTTAACAAGCCCTACAGCACTGACGTACAGAGTCCTTTGCGCATTGGAATAACACAAGTGGTACTGTGATCTAGCTAACATACCCTCTGTAACCCAGCTGAAGAGACAGCTCTTAAAGCTCAAGAGAAGGAATTCAAAGTTCTTGTCCTTTTGATCTTTGGACTCTTTGCTTTGAATAGCATTTTAGGGCATTAGTTAATTCAAATTATGATTGCACTTCTTGAATGGTCTCAGTCCTATGAACTGGACTGAGATCATCATAATGACCTATTTACCGTCAGATGTTGTTCAGGTCATTAAGATGAGGTCATTACGATAAGGTCATTAAGATCATGGACTGAAACGGGTCTTTAAACACCTTGTTATTCAGTCTCACACTGTGCTGAATGCTAATACTACCAACTGCATAGCTGGCCTCAGTTGCACATTGAATTGGCACAGAAAAGCAAGAACTTGAAAAATAAAAATGTGACATCAACAGATATTGATGTAATAAATACAGCAATAACAGATCAATATAAACCTATTTTGTCTCTTGATTCAGTAAATATAAAGTAGTGTAAAAATAACTTAATTTTAGTGTAAATAATGGAAGGAAAAGAATAATTAAAATGTACTCAGGGAATCACTGCTCTGGTCAAACAAAGTGCGCTTCATGTAAACCAGTAGTCCTTAAAAGTAATATGAACCACTTGTTGCAACAGACTCATCTTCAAATATCCTCCTGCCTTCTCTCCTCCTCCATGGCCATATAGTGCTCAGCTACAATAGTAACTGGCTACTTGAGAAGAAAAAAAATCCTAAATAACAGAAGATAATTAAGAAGATCATCTAGTTTTTTGAATGATTCTTCTAACACAGCATCTTGTCTTATCATTTACATTTCTCCTCCCTGGAAAAAGAAGAAAGAATTTTGATCTAATGGGATCAGTCCATCTGGTAAATCCTGTCTCCATTCCCTCTTCTCCAGTGCTATGAAAGCGACCGGTTGTCCTCTATCATAGGATGGGATAAAGAGAACATATAAGATTGCTATTTAGAAACAGTTTCCAAAGTGCCATTCTGAAAAATACAGCCAAGGTCGGCTCAAATATTTTTGCAAACTGTTGAGAGCCAGACTGAAAAGACACACTGAAGCCTTATTTTATGATGCATTAACTCTTCAAATAAATTTAAAAACACGCAGCAGCTCATTTAGCATGCTATAACAAAAATGTAAGAGATGGATATATTTTCTTTAAGGATTGATTTACAGTAATTGTTGAAATTGAATCACTTTCAGAGACAGCAGGTACAGCTTCAGAGGATTAAAATAAATACAAAGCAATTTTTATAAATTTTAATATGAGGAAAAACAAAAAAAACTGTATCTTAAGGGAGACATTTTCTCAATTACCTTATTTTTTATCATACTTATGTAGAAAACCTCCTTAAAATGTCAAATAAGGTGAATATTACCATATACTTCTTTGATAATTTTTACATCTATATATACACAAAATTGAATAAAAGTTATTGAGATTCATATGGGGAAATGAGGTGAAATATAATGACGTACAATACGAAAAAGGTCAGCAAGATGATCTTATGGCTCTTTCTAGTTTTAAATGCTCAAACTCAATAAGCAAACAATTCTTTACTACGCCTTTTACAATATTTTTTCAATCTTTTTATTTTGTCAGCTGTCTTCAATAATTGTCTTATTAAAAAGTCTATATCAATATTATTCAATGAATTACATGAAGAATGGTTTGCTAACTGACACTAATGTCTGCAGCACTGATGTACACATATTTCCTTGAAACGTTCAGAATGACAGTTACTTGATATTATATTAGACTGTTCAACAACTGAAACTTATCTGCTTCATATTCTACATATTAAATATAAATTAGTGAATGTAGAGAGCCCTTAACTAGAATTAGCCACTTCTTTACCTGTTTTGTGCTGTAGTAGCAAGGAAAATCATGAGAGGTGGTTTCTGCCTCGTTCTGTCAGAACCACCACAAAACACATTCTTGAATATGAAGAAGAGGGTGAAAAACATGCTGGGCAAAGGGGCATCCCGAGTGGCAAAATGTCTCCCCATTGCTTTGTAAGTACATTCTTCCAATTGTAATGGTTATTATAGTGATGCATCTGATAGTCTAGCTGTTTAACTGGCAGGAGCCATCAGTGCAAACCCTGCACAGCAGAAAGACTACGAAATTCTCAAATGTGAGTCTATTCTGAAAAATAACTAACTGCTGCTGTAACATCTTATTTAGCAGATCTGCCTCTCAAGCTGTTTTTAAATTGGGACAAAATATACATTGTTCTGTTTAAGCTAAAACTATGCTCTATGATAAACGAAAGCAGCAGCTACCAGGTCTAGATGGACAAGAATAATTAAGTTAGCACGAGAATCAGGCATACAAGAGCAGAGGAAAGGCAATAGAAAATAGCACAGCTTTGCTTGAGCATGCTACAGTAGATAATTCAATTCTAACTGGTAGTATGAACAGTAGATATTCACAGATGACTTTTCTAGACAAAAAAAATGAAAGTTAGAATTGTTAATCAATATACCGCCAACTGCAATGAGGCAAGATTTCTACAGAAA